TTTTCTTGTTTCTCACAGCAGATAGATTATACTTTTCAATGTACTTGCCAAGTATGCAAACACGCTGTTTTGCCAAGGTCCCCCTTGTTGAACATTTTCTGCCAGTCAAAATCTTCACAAGACATGTTGTTTTCTTGTAAGTTTTTGTCTCTCATTTCAGTTTTCTTATCATTCATCATTTCTAGATGGTTTAGATGCTCTAGGTATGACTTTACAAGGTTCTCCTCGACAATGTATTTGTTACAGAAGGCTTTAACACTTAAAGCATCCTCTACATTGATTGCTTTCTCTTTATGAAGTGCTCTCAAGCGTGCTCTAGGGTGGAAATCATCTACCTCCCTTCTATTACCATTTTCCTTTCTTATTGGTGTATCTTCGAGAGGTAAGTAGTGGAACTTTGGGAGCTTGGTGATGTCTGGAACTGGACGAGGAGTTGGAGGCACTGGCTGGTCAACACAGTACTCATGAAACATTTCTCTAGAACTTGTGCATGTTGCAATAATGCTATCGATTTTTTTGAAGTAGTGGTGCCCAGGGACTTGAACTTTCTTCTTTTCTGATTTTCCAGCATTATATTTATGCAGGTATTCAGTGTTAAAAAAGAACTGCTGGTCATTCTTTTTTGTTACAAACGCTTTCATGCAGTCCCATGCAGGACCAGGCTCACCATCAATTCTTGACACAACCTCCTCTGAAACCTTCCATGCGTTACGCTCCATCGTTTCTGCCTCAAGCTTCTTGACCTCAGCAACAGTGAGTTTCTTAAATTCGTCCTCATACATGATATCTGTTGGCTTAAAATATTCCCACTTTAATGCTCTGCCGTCAACCAAAGCTTCACCAATGGGCAGCATTGGAACGCTCAGCCTCATTTTGGCCTGAGTCGTGAGGCGCCCTGTGAATCCTTTTCATGTGCATCCATTCATTAATTCTTGATATCTCAACGTCTCTGTACTTCACCTCTATGTTAGAAACACCAACACCTGGTCCAGCATCAGTTGCTTGAAGAATGTAGTCGCAAAGTGGTGGCAATTGTAGGCTTCCAATGAATGTGATTGCTGTCTTGCAGAGGACATTAACTTTCTCTAGATGTGCCCAAAGACAATTTGCATTTTCTGTGGTGTCCCCATCAACTTTGTCATTCAATTCGTGAATTCCATTGATATGGCCAAGGAGCGCCGTTCCAATTGCAATGTCTTTAGCATTAATGAGCTTTCCCCTCTTGGAATGATTAACTTGCTGCTTCAGATAGCTGCATTTTCAACCAACGAAGCTTTTTCATTTCATACGCTTTAAACATGCAACCTGGGGAAGCTATTACACACATGACATCGTTTTTCATGGTGCAATCTTGAAAATAGAACAATATATCATGCACACAATGGCAAAATTTCCGTAAGGCCAATGGATACACATACGCTGATTCCACTGATTGCTCGAAAAACTGAGGAACCTCCCATTTAATGTGGAGTTGATTTGATGTCCAAACACTTCCTGAACTTCCAATATACCTTTTAGGACGTACAGTGACAATAGTTTGATCTTCCTCATGAACAAACTTTTGCTCATCTTTGATGTCTTCAACTGTCCCCTTGATAAACTGAAAGGAAGATGGCGTTTGATAAACCTTTGATTCAGAAAAATCATGTTGGGGAAGTTGTTTTTCTTTTGAAGGGTCAGAAACAACATCATATATCACCCCCTTCTTGACATCACGGGCTCCTAGATCACTTCCTGGTCTGATGTAAGCTTTGTCATCAAAGCTAATCATGAGACTTCTTGCTTTCTTCTCTTGAACATGTCAAGCTTGCAATTGCGTATTTGTGGTCTTTGATGATGAGTTGCCAAACCTGATTCACTTTCAGTCTTGGGAGGTTTTTTGGAACAAAAAAGTGACTTTCCACTCGACTTTTCTTTAGCATTCTTGTCCGCCATTTCTTTTGGTTCAAATTGTTTTGTGGTCCTTACATGAAGTATTTACCGGAAGTTTACAAAGCAACTGTCAACTGCTTACAAATTATTAATATTCCATCTCTATAAACATGGCGAATTCGACAGAGAAGGAATCTTTGAGTGTAAACGATCAGCCAATATCGATCTTTCTGGAGTTTGCAGACTTGGCGACATTTAAGACAGTATTTCAAGGGTTTGGTGTGGAGAAGTTCGACCATTTAAATGATGTACAAGATGATGATTTACTCAAGTTTGGTATGTATGTGGAATTGTGGATTTATAGTGGATATATTTTATATATATTTTCGAAACTTTCTATATCATTCATTCTTTCTGATCACAGTGCGTCTTTTTATTCACAGGCCTATCTAATATTGAGATCAGGCGATTTACTCAGAAAGTGGCAGACTTCAGATCACAGCATGCTATAAAGGGAGTTGCAGTGGAGAATACTTCAAGTGCTGCAGGAGCATGTGAACCTGTCACGAAACAGCAGTCTACAGTATTAATGGGACCATTAAAACCTTATTGACCACAGTCTGCTTGGAAATCGACCTCAGTGGGATTTATACCTAATCCTACAACACCAAGGGCGAGTTTATGAATTCATTACTGCCTGAATTTTACAAGTCAAAATTCAATCATTGCAAGAATGCCAAACAGTTTGTTAAAGAATTTCATGGAACAGGAAGGGAGCTGTATCACTCAAAACAGCAAATTGATGAGATTGACAAGCAAATAAACTCAATGATGAACAATCAAAATCCTGCAGCAGCAGGGGTTGTTCTTTTACAAAGATTATACAGTACTGCTCAGAAATAACCTAACAGAAAACGCGTTCGGAACGCGTCCGAAACGCGTTCTTAAATGCATTCCATTTGCGTTCCAAATGCGTTCCATTTGCGTTCCACTTTTACTGGAACGCACCTGCGTTCCTGTTACCCTCGTATCGAAACCGGACAGCGTTGGAAATCATCGCTATTTCCCGAGTATTAATCAGCGTTACTTTCACATTTTGTGTTTACACGTCTGTAAAAGAGGTATGGGGAAACTTTCGCAATATGCAAGAAAAAGAATCATTTCCTTACACTCAAGCGGAATTAACCGGACCAAAATACAAAAAGCCCTTGACCAAGAGGGCATTAAAACCTCGAGAAGTGCGATAAGTCTTTTCCTGTCGCGTTATTCGAGGACAGACGACATAGGCGACGCTCCACGCAGTGGTCGAAATGCAAAATTGGCACCAGAAGCCATCGCGTACATCGAGGAAAAAATGCAAGAAAACGATGAACTAACGTCTCGAGAGTTGAAGGAAAAAATGGCAAATGAATGCGATATCCAAATCTCTGAAGCAACTATTCGCAGAGTAAGACGTAAACTCGGTTGGAAGGTGGAAAACGCCAGGTATTGTCAACTTGTATGCGAGCCAAATAAAATCAAAAGGATGGCATTCTGTCTCAAAGCATTTACAGAGAAAGACATGTTTAAAAATGTTATATTTATGGACGAGACATCTGTGCAGATGGAGCAGTATGCAAGAGTGTGTTTCCATAAAGATGGAACTCAACCAAAACGAAAAGGCTGTCCTAAGCATCCATTAAAGGTATGGTACATGGCACTATTTTAAATTTTTTGTCATCTATTGTAATTATAGTATAGATATACTTCCATACCATTTTATGAACTCAACTATAAACACATTAATAATCATTATAAATGCCACTCTTCGCTTGGCAAAGGAAATTAAATAAGGCACATTGCCTATAATTAAAATAACTTCCAAGAGCCAGCAAAATCATACAGTATATAGCATAAGAACAGCCTGTAATATGTAATGTCACTAATGTGTATACATCTAGTTGAAGGACCTTGTAGATGGAAATTATGAAGTGGAAATTTATATACATAATGTGACCTAACCAGCAACAGTTGTGAAAAATACAGCTACAGGTCCCTGGCAGGAATCAAACCTGCGGCTCTGTGATTCCGGTGCAGCGCTCCAATCAACAAAATCTTGATATAAATGTACTAGCTAGCATGCATTGTAGTGAGTAACCTAGTTGTGTAATACCCTGGCCTATGTACTATATATTCCCTCAATTAATAAACTATTAAAATTAATGCTCTGTTTACATGAGCCCAGGCTGACTGTCTACCCAGGTTCTCTATATACTATTAGTTTTAATTGCATGTTTACTTAATTTTTAGGTTCATGTTTGGGCTGGAATTTCCTGGCAAGGAGCAACACAAGTGTGTATTTTTAGTGGATGCATGGAAAGTATTGGCTATCAAACAATTTTAGAAAGGAATTTGTTGCCATTTGTCAGAAGGGTGTATCCTGATGGTCACCGCATGTGGCAAGATAATGACCAAAACAAACAAAGAAATAGATGAAAGATAATGGGATCGATCACTGGGTCACACCTCCTGAATCACCAGTTAGTAATCAAACTTACATCTACGATCTTTTGCAGTTACTTAATAGTTGTATTTTATTGCATGTTAGACAGAATTGACAATGCATATTATTTACCATTAACCCATTAAGTTGCATTGCACCCTGATACACCCTACTTTAGTATTTTACTCTGTCTAACACCAGACAATTTTACTCTGTCTAACACCAAACGATTTTACTGTGTCTAACGCCAGACGATTTTACTGTGTCTAATGCCAGATGATTTTACTCTGTCTAACGTCAGACGATTTTACTTGTCAAGGGGAGAGCACTGGCGCTTAATGGGTTAACCAGCCTATCTGCCCATGTGTCTATTAACCCATCGAGTTGATTGTACCCTGAGGCACCCTACTTTAGTATTTTACTTTGTCTAATGCCAGAGTATTTTACTCTGTCTAACGCCAGACGATTTTACTTGTCAAGGGGAGAGCACTTGCGCTTAATGGGTTAAGCACCAGTGCTCTCCCCTAGACTTGATCGGTTATAATGACAGTACTTTGTGGTGTGTGAGCCTTACTACCACAACAATTTGCAAGTATTTCTATCTTTTATAGTAATTAACCCATTGAGTGGCAGCACTCTCCACTTGATGAGTAAAATTGTCTGGTATTAGACAGAGTAAAATACTAAAGTAGTGGTTACACACGTTGAACATGAATAAGATCTAAAGTATTTGCACATTGTTTTGGTTCAAATTATGAATATTGCAGATCACTTTTCCAAATGATATGCACAAAAAAATCTCAAATTTAAACACTCAAATTCCAGATCCTGTCTATAAGACCCTGTGAGTATTAAATTTAAAAATTTTCAAATATGTAATATTGAATGGTGGCCAAGTGGTTAGAGCACTTGCCTTTCACCTCTAAGGCCGCAGGTTCGAGTCTCAGTGAGAACTTTCTCAATGCGACTCGAACCCAGTCCTCATGTGAAAAGAGTAAAAAGTCAACGCTCTGCCGAAGGTCGTGGGTTTTCCCCGGGTACTCCGGTTTCCTCCCACAGGGAAAGTTGACAGGGTGGGTTAGGCACAAATATTCGGTGTAGGACTTCAATTGGGACAAATGGTTCTGTGTCCTTCACCTGTCATCGAAAATGGCGAATTCAAATAAATAAATAAAATAAAATATTAATTGTTGTGTAGGATTTGAATCCAATCGAAAATATTTGGGCTGGATTAAGCATCATTTGCGAAAATATGTGAAACCAACAAACAAAGATGAGCTCATTAATGGAATTCAAGCCTACTGGAGAGAGCTAACAAAAGAAACATGCCAGCGATATATTGGACATGTTCAAAAAGTAATCCCTGCTGTTATAGCAAGTGATGGTGGACCTTCTGGGTATTAATTAAATTAACAATTATTTGCTGATGGCGAGGTGATTATCTGTGAATAAAAACAAAGTCAAGGTTTTTATTCATGATAATCACCAAGCTTGAGGTACCCTGGGTGCCAGAGCCTCTTTTGTGACAGAAGTGAGGGCACGGTGTGGAGGCTCTGGTCACACAAGCCATGCAGCCTCACTTTGGTGAGTTTAATATTTGAACTCTGTTTGTGGTTGGTCTAAATTTATGCAAGTCTTTTCATTGATTGACCGATGCTCATTGGTTAATCAATCAAAAGATTCACATAAATATTGACCAATCACAAACAGAGTTCATGTTCGTGTGACCCAGGGTAAGCTTGAGGTGAATAAGTATAATTTCCTTTGTGATTATTTGGAGAAAAAATTTAAATTATACTCATTTCTTCATCATTTAATTGACAAAACTGCTTCAGCCACCATTTCGAAAATCGCTTAGGTAATTGTTATGTTTTATTATATAAAATATACATGTAGTGCTTTATGGAGATTTCTAGCATTGATAAAACTGATAATCTCACATGTGCAGGGCATTTTTACTCGCTGGGGCACTGTGCCCCAGACGAGTATAGGTTTCGGCACACATTTTTGGTGGATGTCAGACTTCCGATCATTGTTGATAGCCACAAAATAGAATATTAATGAGCTGCCTAATTTTCCCCCCAATTATCCATAAGGCTCCTGCCAATTTTACCCAATTTATCCATAAATAGCCCTCCATTTTGAGGAAAATTCGGGAAAATCGAACAATTTTACAAGGAATTTCGCATGGAAATAGCAACCTTCGCAAATCGCAAGCAGTTTTATATAAACATTTATACGTTTGACTGCGCTGCTTTATTTTTTGAGATGAAAGCGACACCGTTCGATTCAGCGTAAGAAATTAATTGTACTTACAAGTGTAGTACTAAACACCAGTATTCTAGCGATTTATGGCCTTTGAAAATGAAGCGAAATTGTATTGTTGCAAATCGCTCGCAGCACATATTTGTTGATCACAAATCACTCACACTACGTTTGTCCACAGGTTTGTCCTTGTATTTGTAATGCCTAATGGCGCAATAAGGATAAAAATACCACCGTTCGATTCAGCGTAAGAAATTGTACTTACGGATGTCAAATGTGTTACTAAAGCATCAGGATTCTAGCGATTTATGGCCTTTGAATTGAAAATCAAGCGAAATTGTATTTGTTGACAATCGCTCAAAATTATTAAACTTTTGATAGATATTTTATTTTTCCATTATACAGTTTTGATAAAATATAAAGATACCATTCATATGGAAGGAAGACTAACAAGTCCGTCAGGGCTTTTCTAATATAACAAAGAATAATTACAAAGATTTTCTAATATAACAAAGATTAATATACTTTCCTTAATTAAGTCCATATGTGGATCTCTTTCCAGTGACTTTTTCTGGTGCACTCCTGAACAGTTAGAGTCTTTAAGCTCTTCTGCTTCAAACAATTCAAAAACAAGATTTTTGGCAAAGTTTGAAATCGACGAACTTTTCTTGAACAATTCATCATAGACAGATGGTTGAATTGCGGAGACTGATGATGGTTGAATTGCGGAGACTGATGATGGTGAAATCACTGAGACTGATGGTGAAATCACTGAGGCTGTTCTTAGATTGACAGTTCTTTCCTCCGCTATTGTTGCAGTCATGCCTGGCAAAGTATTGTTTGAACAGATAGATGCAACTTCCGAAATAGTTTGCAATACAGTTGACGACTCTTCATCAAAGCTGTCGAAACTACATGTAATTGGGTCGGTACAATTAAATATATCCTCTGGAATTTTGCACTCCTGATCTGGTTTGCTTGTTAGAATTTTTTATAACCGAAACGAGTTGGTCTAGTTTATTTTCCAAACTGGTTACCTTGTCCAGCAACTCATCATGGCAGAAACACTTTGGTTGCTCATTCCCATCCTTTTGGACACCAACTTCTTTCGAAATTCTCTTATCTTTTGATATTGTGATATCAATTTTCGCACTTTCTCTTGCTCAGCAACATGCAGTAAAGACAATGGTTCTTTCCTATTCTCGTCCTCTTTCACATTTCCAACTTCCTTATTTCCCTCAACTGGCAAGGCTTCTGCCTCAATGGTTATTATCTAAAAACAACCAATAAATAGTTACTGTACAGGGTGTATCAAAAAAAGCGCAATCCTCGACTGAAATGTAAATTGCTAAACAAATAATAGACGAAAACGTTAAAGTTTACATTCATTTTAAAGCGTAGCCATTCAGCTTTCTAACAGTGGGTTGTTTCTTAAATTTGACTCATTGGTTCGCGGCTAATAATACTTTACGTTATTGCGATTGGAGATTAAAAAAATTGAGATGGAATAACAAATCGTTCTCATGAAAATAACTGATTTTTTCATCAAAACAAAAAAATGTTGCATTTTATTAAATGGATTGTAACAATAAGTATAATTACGGCTTTTCTTCCACTATTTTTAACTCAGTTTTAAACTTCAAATGCGATATAATTTTGGCTTGGACCATCTAAGCTGTCTGACATCAACTTGCTATAATTTCTGTTTACATTACATCGCAATTCGATGACACTCTGGCTCAGACACCAGAATGTTTTGACGATTTTTAGCATTCGTTTAGGATTTTCAAACAACCTGGTCTCTTTTAAAATACTTTTAATTTGTTCTTACGTGGTTTTCCAGATGTAGTGACGACAACATTAAAGTTTAAAGAAGAAAATTCTAACATTTAAACCGACTAAACAATAACACAGTAAACTTGCATAATTAAACAGCAACTAAAAATTATAGGTTTTACTAAATCTTTTCCTGTGCAATTATTACTAGCATTGGACACAAGGATAATAGTTTGTTTGAAAGAGAAAAGAACAGGCTTTGAAGTAAGCCTAAAAGCGTTTAACTAGAAATAGTATTTCGAAAGTTATTAAGCACAAAAGATGAATTGCGTTTATTTTGATACACCCTGTATACTGTAGGCTAAACACTAAAAAGGCCACTTATATTTCTTTTGTAAAGGGGCTGACTTTAGCTTTTGCTTTTTGGGGGCTCAAGAGAATGTAGCACCCTACAGTACTTCCTTATCTTACTATTTAACCCACTGTGTGGCAAGTAAAATCACATCTGGGTGCATAATGCCACATAGATGGTGCATGCACAAATAGTCTGATTAACCCACTGAGTGGCAGCATTCTCCAGCCCCCTAAATAATAAAGTAGGGCACATCTCGGCACATTGCCACTGATTAAAGTTAACAGGGTATGTATGGGCCTATCAGTGAGGTACAGGCAGATAGTCTAATCAACTCATTGTGTGGCAGCACTCAATCTCTGCCTGACAAGTAAAATTGTTGTCTGGCATCAGACAGTTGAGTAAAATAATAAGTAGCGAGGGCACAGTGCCACTTAAAGGATTAAGCGGTTTTTAGTCCCAGAACTTGTAGACTTTGTAACATTCAGCCACAAGTTTTCAACTTTCCAACAGCTTTTTGTCTCATTTAATATGACTGCATTGGTTTAATTGAAATGTGTATATAAATTATGCAAGTTAAAAAATGTCCTTTCAGTAATTATTCTATTCAGAAAGCAGTAGTTAAAGAAATGCAGGCTTTAATCTCTTCATGAATCATGACTTGTGTAATTATATTTGATTGTGTATTTCTTAATTGAGCCAAAAATCGATGGTTGTCCAATACTGTCGAACGTATACGGATCGTAAAGATGGTGAAACATTGAACACAATCCGTACGGTCCGTACGAACTGTAAAATGGCTTTACGGATCGTACGGTCCGTACGGTTCGTGAATATGATTTACGGACTGTGAACATGCTTTGTCGATGGTGATGTGGTGTCTAAGTCAGGGCCAGAAAAGTTTGTCGATCCGTACGGATCGTACGGTCCGTACGAACTGCAAAATAGCTTTACGGATAGTACGGTCCGTACGGTTCGTGAATATCATTTACGGATCGTGAACATGCTTTGTCGATGGTGATGTTGTGTTTAAGTCAGGCCAGAAAAGTTTGTGGATCCGTACGGATCGTACGGTCCGGACGAACTGTAAAATGGCTTTACGGATCGTACCGTCCGTACGGTTCGTGAATATGATTTACGGATCGTGAACATGCTTTGTCGATGGTGATGTGGTGTCTAAGTCAGGCCAG